TGCCTCGCCGCCGGCTGGCGGTGCCTTTCTTGAACGGTCCGGTGCGCAAATCTGAAAGCCGTGCTTCTGCTGAAGTCCTGCGGTGTAAAGCAGAGAATCAGTTCATCTGCCTTGCCAGCTGTAATTCTTGTAACGCTTCAAACTGGCCGTCTGCCTCTTTGGCAGCGGGTTGCCACCGTTGACCTGTGCTCAGCTTTGGATGCCCTCCAGCTCCAGCGGCATCTTCTGCAGAATTAGTCACAGCCTGTGTTTCCAGTCGTGTCTGTGTACTTTGTTCCCCAAGCGCAGAACCTTGCACTCGTCCACATTAAACTTTCTCCTTTCCCCCCCCCCCCCCCCCCCACCATCTCGTCTCTACCTTGCAAAGAGTGTTTTGAATTGTGATACAGCCTGCTTGAAGCTCCTTCCCAAATATGAGGAGCTGCAGATTTACTGTGGTACTCTTTTTTCATTCAAATCCTTGATGAAGTGTCAGGTGGAAGTCTGAATGGTACATAATCCAGTTTTGGCAGTGTCAGTAACCTCTGTTATCTTTGTAGCTGGTCTTGGAAAAGTAATAGAACATTTCTTGAGGGTACAGTGAATATTGTAGGCCTGACCACATAGCCAGAAAGCCTTTTTTTAATAAATAGCGGGAAGTCAGGAGTATGGGATAGGGAGGATTCAAAGAGGTAAAGTTCCCTGCCATATATCAAGGGCTCTCTTATGCTAGAATAAACAAGCCAAGCTTTCTGAGCCTTCTTGAAGACTCTTTTTTTCCAGTTATAACAGCCTTTTTTGTGTTATTTCTTGTCGTTTAAATTGATTTGTTTTGAACAGTTAAACATAACATTTTACACTGTTGCTGATCAGGCCTCATCAGTATTTTTATACAGTGGCTTTAGTGCTTGCTTTGTTCACTGAAGACAGCTCAGTTCATCTGGTACATCCTAGAATCAGCTTGTCTTTTTTTTTTTTTTCCCCCACATGTCACTTAATTGGCAGCTCGTTATTGCCTTGTGGCATCCAGATGTTTTCCTTGGGATTACACATACAGTGCTTCAGTTCTTATTAGTCTCCAGGTGCATCACCTTGTGCTATGACCTTCATGCTATTGAATTTCATGCTGGTGGTATCACTCCAGCCTTTGAAGACAGTATAAAACCTCCTGTACGATAATGTGACCTTCCTCTGTATGGTAATACCATAATCTGTCAGACCCCTGTGCTTTTTGGGGGTGTGGTTTCTGTTTTGTTTTGGTCAGGAACCCTGTAAAGTATTAAATAAGGCTACTAACATCAACATTCTTTGTGGAACTTCACCAGTAACCTTCAGCAGCTCTGTAGTTCTTCTTTCAGCTGAGCATGTTGTCTTCTTCCTGTCAGTCAATGTATTGCTCCTTTTACAATTATTATACATTTTAAGGGATTTTCTCATTTGTTTTGTGGCACAATATTGTATGCTCTTTCTGAAGTCAGCTTGACTTTTGGGAGGTCTCAACTTTGTATTCCTCCTAGCTGTGGTGACAGGCAGCTTCTGGCTTCTCTGGCTCCACTGTAGAAAGCAGCTCAGATAGACCTTCCTCTTGCACAGCATTTTAGAGGGAAATTTCAAGCTGTTAAGTGGTGTAAGTTAAGACAATATATGATTTCCCTGGCTAGTATTTTACTGTTATTATTATCTGTCATCCCCCCAAGTTTTCTTCTCCACTGTTTCCCTTCTAAGGGTGTAGCTATTACACTGGCAGTTCTCAAGAAGAAATGGAGCTGGGGAAATAAAAGCGTAGAAGAGTTTGAGTATGAGGTTTCACCAGAGTGCCTCTTCCTAAGCACATCTTAATGAAGGTCTTGTCAGGGAGCTTTTGTGAGTCAAAGATCACAGCCTGTGTTGACACCTTTCCACCATGCAGAAAAAGGGAGCAGGCAAGACTGGAAGCAGTGCTCTCTTTTTTTTCTCTCAGAAGACTAAAGTTAGGAGAGAGGTCTGCTAGGTGGAGAATCACACCTGATCCTCATAACCGTACCAAACACAAACATAGCTGCTGCCTCCCCTTCACCTTTCAACCCATTGAATCTTCCATCCTAGCTCAAGGAAGAATAATCAAGGTGTATCTTTCTTACAACAATTGATGTGTTTAAGAAGTACTTACTGGTAACTTGGAAAAATTATTTACCCAAGTCAGGAGACTCTTTCTCTGCAAGGGTTTTATTCTGAATTTCCCTGCTTTTCTCTATATGTTTCCCACTGAGGCTGCTGGAACAGGTTTTATGCAGTAGAAGTCAAATTATTAAGAGCTTATGTGCCTGGAAACATTCTCGTTACTCAAGACTCTGTGAAATTGGCTGGAAAATGTCCTCTGGAAGCCATAAATACCTCTTAGTGTTTGCTGTCAGTATTTTGGGCATGACGTCAGGACAAGGGCATAAGAACCCTTAAAAGAAAGGGAGGGGAAGAAGGAAGGGTGAGCAGCAGTGAAATGGCTCTTCTGTTTCTGAAGCTGGGAGCCCAGGCTTGGATAGATGAGCCAGAGATCTTTGAGTGTTTCTTTGGCAGAGGAGAGCTGTGTCAGAGAATCTTTCTGCCTGGGACCACAGAGGTTTCAAATGAGTACTTGGTGGAGTGATTATCGCTTTCATGCATCCTGGCAGAGAAGAAAACAAAAAAACTTTATCTGTGGGTTATATAGTCAAGCTCCCAGCTAAGGAAGCATGCATGTGCACATCCCTTCTGTCACTTGGGACTGAGCTGAGAGTGCGTATAGTCCTACAAATAACTAAAACCTTTGAGAGTAGATTTTTCCTTACGTGATTCTGCCTGGGATAAATGTCAGTAAAAAGGAAAGCAAAGATGCAGATGTAGGGGGAAAAGAGCACTTCAGTAATTTTAAGGTTTTATCAATAGAATGTAAATCATAGGTTCGGTTGCAATATTGATGTGTACAGTAATGTTACAATATGTTCTGTATAAAGAGTTGAAACTGGTATATACCTTACCTGGGTTAGTGTAGAGTCTCCCAGAGTAGCAGGGTAAATGCTTGCATCTTTCACAATTATACAAAAGCTAGAAAGTCACAATTGTAATTTAGGGTTTAGCATGCATTTCCTTGGCAAGCAGCTACAATGGCTTAAAATACTACCGTTCCTCTCTGGGAGGTTAGGGCCCACACAGAGATGTGAGATCTCTTAAGCTGCTTCAGTGCTGACCACTTTCCGTGGCAATTCAAGCTGAAACAGTAGTAACAGTTGAGAAGGATGGTAACATCTTCAACTAAGTGAATTAACATGTGTCTCTGGGACTCCCACAGTATATAAGGTTTTGTGGGTGTTAAATTGTGCAGTATTGCAGAGTTGCTTTATCTTCCACTATAAAGAGCTTTTAAATAAATAATAGCCCCCAAAAGCCTTTTGGTATGACTTTTATTATCCTGTCAGTGGGGTGCACAGTAAAGGCACGCTGACATTAGTTGCAGGAATTGGTGATTATGTTTTGCAGTCCTTAAGCTTGAATAGTTTTCTGAGTAGCTTTACATATTTTCATGACAGATTTTTACCACCCCCAAGAAACCTCTATCGCAACTTCATTCTAAGATGATGTCAACTGAAACTGTTATTTTGGGAATTCACAGGGTGAATGATTTGAAGACTGGTACGCTGATAGGAATTGACAAATATGGAAACAAATACTATGAAGACAAAAGAAACTTCTTTGGTACGTGTGTTAATGTGGATGCCTCCTGGCTGACTGTCCAACTTCGTGCAGCTTGTGTAGTTTCTGCTAGTGAAAGAGAACTTGTTGCCTACCTGACTGCCTCACGCTTGACTTGTGTGCATCTTAGAGAGGGGGCTCATAGAAATGCTTTGATATCTTCTGTCTCTCTACTGCTTCCCTCAATTCATTTGCAAACATAGTCAATCTGAAATAATAAATATGAGAGAAATATAAGCCAGTCAGATGCTGTCTATGTAGGTATGACGCCTACATGATAATGTGGTCAAGAGCTGAATTTGGTCCTTGACCTAAAAGCCAATAGTTTAACAGGTAGGGGAAGAAAGAGAACTGCCTTTAAACCTGCCTCACAGCTGTATTTACTTATATGATCACTTCAGGGCAAAGAAACACGTGTTAGCTTAAACTTCTAATACCTTAAGTGATGGGATTTTAAATAACATTTGTAGAGTACTTAAAGAGGTAGCACCTAAAACAACGAAGGTGACATGTAAGCAATTGACATGCTGGTTAGGCCAAGCTCTGCCTACTGTAGGTTAACTTGTAGCGTACCTGGGGAAAGCAGTTGCTGGTAAACATTGCTTGGTAGTTTTATATGGGTGAAACTTAGTTTAATCTTAGGTTACTAATGGCAATGGCCTTTTGGGAAAGACTCCTCCTAATGGGGAAAAAAAGTCCCCAAACCTGTTTCTCTGCCTGAAAATTTTGTAAGTTCCTGCTTCTGGTTACTTATACAATAGCTAATACTTGCTTCCTCGTGAAAGCGTTAGATTCAGCCATATAAAAATACCGTAACAATGGAAGTACAGAAGACTTAGAAAAATAAAAGCTGTACTGACTTTGAAATAAATGCCCATAATGATAGATACTTTTAGTCAAAATACTTTTCCTTGTGTTTTCATGAATTCTTTCCTTTATATGAAAATAATTTATTTTTTTGAGCTAATACGATATTTCTGTTTGTTTATTTAAGGTCGACACAGATGGGTCATCTATACTAATGAAATGAATGGCAAAAATACATTTTGGGAAGTTGATGGAAGTATGGTGCCCCCCGAATGGTAAACCATTTAGCTTAATAATGTAGAGGGATACCAGTTGTGTAATTGCCTGTATATTTTCTTGTATTACAAAGCACAAGATTAAAAAAAAAAAAAAAAGGCAAAACAATTTTATGGTAATAAAGTTTTCTTGGACACAGCTATCTTATACAAGGCCAGAAGATTTCAGGCTGGTTACTTTTAATTTTGAACTGCATTCGTAATGTTATATTGCTCACTGTCCTGACAGCTGCACTCACTGCTTCTTGGAATGAGAAAAGCATTTTGCCAGCCAGATTGAGCAGGTCAAGCCAGTCCTCCAATTTTCCTAATTAGTTGTGGTTCCATCTTAATGGTTTGGCAAAGCCTACAATAGCATTGAGCAGCCAGAGGTAGAAAAAATATTTTTAGGTAGAAAAAATATTTTTATTATCCATTCTAGACAAGAACCTGAAGAACATAAGACAATGGTGGAACAACATTCCTTAATCCACAGCCATTAACAGCATAACTGTTTCAATTGATCTACATTGATACTCTACGAGATGATGAACAGCAAAGGGCCAGGGTGCTCTGTATGTTGACTGCTACTTGACTACTGTTTTTCTTAAGGTCTTATTTTCTGTTCATGCATTTTAGTAATAATTCTGTACAGCCTTGAGTTCCAGAAGGTCTCTGGCCACACAGCTGTTAATATTCTTTTTGTCTTCCTAAATAACTCAGAAAAAACACACACCAGATAAACTAACAGTGTATGCTAGCAAAAACAATCTCTATCCGATTCTTGAGAAATATGAATAGCATTTCACCACAAAGCGGTGAAAGGTGATATGAACCAAGAGGTGCGTGGGTAGACTGAACATTGGTGAACACTGTTTTTTTTTTTTATTGCTGTGATAGATGTTTGTGCCAAGGCTGAGATTGGTTATCTAAACTCCTGAACTGTGGCTCTCATTAGAACATTTGAGAAATGCGTGGGTAGATTGTCTAGGTAGTCAATTTTGTTTCAAATTCTCCCAGCCTTAAAATTATGTTTAATGCAGTTAATGCTTTTTTTCTGTCTTCTCCAGTAAGAGCTTAATGGCATTGTTTTTTAGAAGTGACATTAGAATCTCCAAAACTAGCATGTTCATGCCAGTGCGGGGCTGTTCCTTGTTATCTGCGTAATAACTGTTGTTTGGTTCTAGTTTTTATCCTTTCGCTATTAGACTGTGCCAGTTTTCAATATTTTCCTTACTTTGAGGTATGGTTTTTGTTGTTTTGGTTTTTGTTTTTTTTTTCTTTGCTTGTGCTTATGTGTTGTTTATTGCACCTTTACAAACCTCAATAAAGGGTTTCTTCCCAAGTATCAAATGGATGTTTCTAGGATTAAGTAGCTTGTTCAGATCATATAAATTAGTGAGGTAGAAAAACTTGTTTTCCTATCAATGTGGAAAAACTTGCCCTAGAAGAAACAGTAACCGTTTCATTATTTTTAAGAATGGTCAGTGCAGTGGGGCACAAAAAGGCACACAGTCCTGTGTTCTAAGGTATTTTTGTCAGGAAACTTAGGTGTGCAGTACTGTTCAGTTTTTTTGGTTGGTTGGGGTGTTTGTTTTTTAATTGGTGATAAATTTGTATGTCCCATGGCAACCTTAGATGTTTATTCTTATGTAGGAATCCTAGCTTTGTGAAACATCTAAATCACTGACCTGTAATTCTATACTGTTTAGATACATCTTTAAAAATAGAAGTATTGTGACTGGGAATAAATGCTGTCTTTCAAGACTCTATTTTTTTCATCTGGTGATATACTGTCTTAAATTTTTAACATGGCATAGACTTCTGAATTGAGACTGTTAATATATTGTACAAGTTGCTGTCGATGTAACACTGGGATTGTGCAACTAGGCAGGAAATGAGTGGTGGTTTTGCACCCAGAAATTTGTTGGAGATAAATTAGATTGTGTGAAATTACTTCTATTAACAAAGAGATTAATTTGGTCCATAGTATAATAGTATCTGTCCTGTCAGTTGTAAAAAATGTTTATTTCTTAAAGCACTAGCCCTTCCTGCAACAAATGGAAAGGTGAGATGAGTTTGTCATCCTTGGGCCAGCTGCGAAGCATATACAGTACCATTGTAACAGCTGGGTTGTGATCTGAATACTTCTTCTAAACACTGATTTTTGACTCTGAGTTTTAGTTAATTTGGCTCAGCAGGGCATTTTGTGGGTATGTTGTTGTACCCTCTGCAGGTGGAAGCAGGTTTTACTACATTGTTTATGCTGGTGTTACTTTCAGAAAATATTTTGCAACTGTCATGCCTAAAGATGACACTTAACAAAATCAAGGTTTAAGACCAGGGCTAACCTAGAGGTTTCAGGTTTTCTGTTTTTAAGTAGTAATGTTAACTAGTTTGTAATGATTTTGTAGTGCTCTTATAAAAATCCTACTGATTACACTATTTTCTTGGGAAGTATAGAGAACACTGGCAGATGTGCAGGAAAAACTCTTTCTTCCTTTTTTTTCAGTATAAGTCATACCACAGATTGTTTTTCCCCATATTTCTGTTGAATACACTGTGCATCTTAAAGTGTAATTTTGTGGTCAGTCGTGTGCCTTCAGGATTGTGGAATACAAATGATTGTTGAAATACAATCAGGTGGACCTCATCATGCATGATGAATTGGAAAAAGCATTTTGGTATATTGAAAAGTTCTGAAAACAGCTGTCTGGAAAAAATAAAATGACAATTCATTTAGCTTCCCTTTACCTTCTGTCAGATACTGGGGAAAAGGAAAAAGCAGCACAAAAAAACATCTAATGTAATAACATGTTGTATTACCGCTTTTAGGAACTACTGAATATTTTCAGTATTCTGAAATAATTGATGTGATGTCTTTTGACAACGGATATACTGAAATCACAATCTGAAGGAAATCAAGAGAGTTGTTTTGACATATGTCTACTATACAGGGAGTTGAGACGGTTGCTTTTTTAAAATGTTGTCATACCAGAATATGTAGGCTTGTGGTTTATTTGGATTTAGTTGTGTTACTTAACCTCCTTGTTACTCTGGGTTTCTTTTCTTATCTTCAAAATCAAGGTCTTGGTATGTACTTTGTTGGAGACAAGTTAATTAGAGAGAGTTGTTTTGACATATGTCTACTATACAGGGAGTTGAGACGGTTGCTTTTTTAAAATGTTGTCATACCAGAATATGTAGGCTTGTGGTTTATTTGGATTTAGTTGTGTTACTTAACCTCCTTGTTACTCTGGGTTTCTTTTCTTATCTTCAAAATCAAGGTCTTGGTATGTACTTTGTTGGAGACAAGTTAATTAGATTTTTTTTTTTTTTTAAATTTCCTCAATACTTGCATTGGGAATGATTAGTATTAATCTTCTTGTAATGCTTTATGAGATATTGGGACCATTATTTTTCCCTACCCAAA